GGGAGTAAAGCTGAAGTCAAAAGGAGAGTCAACTGATCGCGAAACACGAGTGTTGACTAAAATAAAAACTGGGGGAGATGTAATGGTCGAAGGAACTTTCGCTTTGTGGTATTATCGTGGACTGAAACAAGACTGAAGTGTAAGGAGGGCGGGGATTTCTTTTTTTATAGATCGCTTGGCGCCCTCTCATCTAGAAACAACTGTTTGGTACCAGATCATGAATATATTCTGCGTTCGCATTTGTGTAATATGAACAAAGAAACTCTACAGTTCTTTAAATTGGATTATTATTATTATTTTTTATTATTATTATTATTAGTCCAGCTGTCTCGGTGGTCGTGGAATTTTGATCGAACACGTACCGGAAAATGAAACATGGCCGCTGTGCAAGTTTTGTTATTATATTGGGAGAGAGCCTGAGTATTTTCAGGGCGCCTAAATTAGCGACGGTGAGATTCGTTGTGCCCGTACGCCCGTGTTTATAAAGCAGCGCATATCAAAAATTACACTTGCTTATTGAATTTTCGATATAACGAAAACACGCGAAATATTTTCGCATTCAAATACAGACGTCCGCTGGAGGAACGCATCGAAACTTCAGTTTATTTTCAGTTTATACTCTTACACCATTTTAAATTTCCATGTAAATCTAAGACGGTGAGGTCAGGTCACGACCAATCCCATCGGTCAGATAATAGTACATTCAGGTACTCCGTTGCATGTCGACGAAGTTTTCCGTGTCCCATCGCCCTGGAACTACATCTGAAATCGTGTTTTTCTGTTTTTTAAGCTCAAGACGATAAGTTCAGATCATATTTATTATAAAACATCATAGTTCCACAACTGATGAGAGTCGAGAAATAGTTTATTCTGTGCCGTGGAGGATTTTAATCTCGCCCGTGGCGTGGTCGTAGTTTGTGACGTATAGTCCGGACGCCTCGCTGTCAGGGCCAGCTGCCCGCAGAACAAACACCAATTCTGTGTGGCCATCTGTTTGTGAAAATTAACATTAATGTTGAAGATTATATTCTGCGATGTTGCATTAATCAGCTGATATTTGCAACGGTGAAGTGCTGTGTTTTCTTCGCGGTACGGGCTGAATCATTAAGTATTATTTAGAATAAATTCGGCTTTAAAGGGTTAATTTCTGGCTAGTAAATTATTTTCCCACGAACTACAGTTGGTGTATGATTTCCAGTTTCATTTTTTGGTGTTCAAATTGAATTCGTGTTTTTGTTATTTGCAGAGATGTTATTGGATTAAAAGTTCTGTAGATGGGATCAACTTCAATAAGGAACCTCTGTTGAAGTTGATTGTTCAGAATTAATATACTTAGTCAAAAGATGGTTAATGCTTGATTTTTGAACCGAAAATGATATTTTACGATTGGAACTCAGATGGATTGTAATTAAAATCTCTGTGGACACGTGAAACTAAATTAAAAATTGTTATAGTGTGTTAAAAATAATTTTGAAATTCGTACTTGTTTAACGGAGAATATGGGACGATTTGATTGGGCGAATAGCCCTTTTTAGTAGGTACCACGTGTTATTTCGAGAATGAAAACAAAATGTCTTCCTGAAAATGGAGGCTTATTCCAGCGTGGATTTGAATGGTGAACGCTGAATCGTGTTTTTTTTTTATACAGCAGGTTTGAGTGCCAAGGTTATGGATATTTTACGCATTGATGAATCAATCTCGATGAAAGAATGATTCAACCCTGTTATCATCAACACCCCCATACCCCATTCTTTTGAACCGAAACAATAATGTGGAATAATGCGGTAGTGCCTACAGGAAGGTTGAGGGGCGGAGGGGGTAGAATCTCATTACCGAGGGACATATATACTGCGCTGAGTTCCATTACGGAAATTACTGTCTCGTGTTGTCCAACCCCCCCAACCCCGTTTCATACGACCCGCACTACAATTTCTAATCCTGTCGTACGCAGAATGAGACGGGCAAGAGAGTACACGAGAACTTCCGAATGATTACGGCAGGTACCCCATCTCTATTATTTAAGGAAAATCGAATGACCATTAATTTACGTAAGTCTAGCGGTTAGAACGCTGGCCTTGTAATCCTGGGGGTCTCGGGTTCGATTCCCGGCTGTGCCCGAATTTATAACTTGTGTTGGGCAAGGCCGTGGTCTAGGCAACACGGAGTTTTCCTCCGTGGCATCCCAACAATTACTCCATTCACACACAGAAGAAGGCAATGGCAAACCACTTCTGGATCATCTGCCAACCGGCGGGGCCCGAATTTTTAACTTGTGTTGGGCAAGGCCGTGGCCTAGGCAACACGGAGTTTTCCTCATTGGCATCCCAACAATTACTCCATTCACACACAGAAGAAGGCTATGGCAAACCACTTTTGGATCATCTGCCAAGAACGTATATGAACAGGTCCCAGTCCGAGAAAAGGATGGAAGGATCCTGTTCATATGGACCTGTCGTCAGACAGAACACTAAATAAATAATAAATAATAATAATGTGAGAGTTATGTCTCCTATCACGTGATACGATGACGTCGTACATGTGGGTCCTGTAGGCGAAACATTGCATTGGACAAAAACGAATGGCGTAAAGTTTTCGCATTAGGATGGTGGAAAGTGGGTAGTGCATAGTCAGATGAGTATTTAGATGGCTGTCTTCTAGGTTGTTGCACGATGTAGTCTGTTGGTAAATTTCTACGAGACTAAACAGCACTACAACCCAGAGGACATGCTCACCGCTGTGAGAACCCAAAATGATGATTACTTTATGTGTCGCCGTGTTACAGTGGCCTGGTTCACATTTGACCCATGCCTTGGTCCGCCAGAACTCCAGTTCTCGGAGGATAACTGCACAGTTTCGTGTGAGGGCTACGAACACAGAGTAACCCTTGGCAGTGTCGGCTTCTCGCGCGGAGTCCACTACTGGGAGTTTTCGATCAACAGATATGACTCAGACACTGACCCCAGCTTCGGAATCGCGCGCCTCGACGTTGCCAAGGACCAGATGTTGGGTAAGACGACTTAGAGTGACGCAGGGCTGGTCTCCACGTGACCGCTCTCGGAGTCTTTACGACTTTTACGTGAAACAAAATTACAGCAGCCAATGAGAAAGCTGCTAGTCTCGCATCTGTTGCAGAGTAGGGAAACTGTATGAACTGTAGAGATTTTTGGTGAATTACTTTATAATTTTTGTGTTTTGTTTTGAAGACTGAGAACAATAAGAAATATTGATCTTGCTAAAATAGTGATCTGTCATTTTAAGGACTGGATTTTTAAAGATCAGTATTTATTTCGTAAGATTTGACGTTTTCACAGCGACGAGTATGAAGATTTCTGTCTTCTGGGTTGTTGCGCCGTGTAGTCTGGTCGATGTTAACCGACGTTTCGGAGGTCATACTGCCTCCGTCATCAGGGCGACAACCCAGAAGACAGAAATCATTAGTATTTAGGCTTCAAGCTTTTGTTCCGTCTTTGAAACGAAACTTGTACGCCATTATTAATCTGAGTTTGAATTTTACAGGCAAAGATGACAAAGGCTGGAGTATGTACATAGACAGACAGCGATCGTGGTTCATGCACGGGAGTGTCCACGAACAGCGATCAGAAGGAGGAATCCAGCCCGGCTCGACTGTCGGAGTTCTACTCGATCTTGACAGACATCAGCTCAGTTTCTATGTGAATGAAGAACCACAGGTTTGTGTCATCAGCCCACATGACTCTGCCACCATCATCTGCATTTATCATCCCGTCATAATTTGACCTGTGTACTCCGATGTTACGTAAATAATGTCATAGTTTAACCATCGCCGTGTTCAGACTGGGACCCCGTTTATATACGTTTTTTTTACGCAGGTGATACAGAAGTGTTTTTCGTTGCCTTCTTTAGTGTGTATGGAGCAACCGGGGAAGCTCCTGAGGAAATCTCCGTGTTGCCTAGACCACGGCCTTGCCTGACATAAGATAAAAATTTGGGCACCGCCGGGAATCGAACCCGGGACCCCCAGGATTTCAAGGTCATCGTTCAGAACGCTTATCGAACTGTAGATCCTCTCTGATGGCCAGGATCTGTCTCACGAGTGTTTTTATCTCAGAAATATAGATTTCTACATCTCGGTGAACGGACAGGGATCAAGAAGGAGGATTAAACAACGAATTTTCTGTTGCAGGGTCCAATCGCGTTTCAAGACCTGTACGGAGTGTTTTACCCAGCGGTGAGCTTGAATCGAGGCGTGTCCGTGACCCTGCACACCGCCATTGATCCGCCATCAGACAGCGACGAGAGTTGAGATGTTACGTATCTTTCTCTTAGAAGTCCTCTTCTCCTGTACCAGAGTGAGAGAGGGTCTGATTCAAAACTTGCGAGCTCACCTTTAATTGTGGAGGACCGAGACTCGCTTCTTGTCGAGTCGGCGTCAGATGTCGAGGTTCCGTGCTTCTGCGAGACGCGTTGAAATTCGACGTGAGAATTTGTTTACGTAGAAAGGGATATTTTATTCGGCGTTTTTAACTCGTGCGTGTGTCCAAGATGATCAGTTCAGAATGAAAAACAGGGAATAATTAAGACGCGGTTCTGTAGAAAGAAAATTGCTCTTGATAGATCAAAAATATTTTTTAATTCAAATTTAATATGACCTCGTCTTTGAATTATATTTTTATTTATAAAATAAAAATTTGATTGGGATGGTATATTTTCCATAATTTGGTGAATAGTAATTTGTTTTTTTGTATACGGCGTCACACATTATTCGGAAAACAATAAATCAGCTAAAACTTTACAAAAGAATTAATTACGTACAATTTTATATTTAATGAAATTAAATTAACGAGCTACGATACTATTTGTACAAATGTATATAAAATCTACGTGATAATATTACGTCTATTGCAGTACGCATGCGTGGAGCGTAAATAAGAGTATTGGGTTTAATATTTATGCTCCTTCGTTTTGCGAACGGACCTCGAAATTAGATAAAATGATGACGCACTTATGTCAGAGTCGATTGGTTTTGAAAACTCTCTTACGTGCATCTCCTCGCCCCGTCGCGCTCGACAGATGACGATCGTAGTTATCGAATCGTCTCGATAGGCGCGGGGGGTGTGTGAACAGTTCCTTTCTGGCAGCACATCTATATTTATTGTCAAATTGATTTTGGTCTTGCCTGAAATCGTATTAGTGTTATTAAAAAATTACGTCGTCAGATTTCTCGTCATTTGTTTGTGTGGTCGATGTTTTTTGCGTGAACGTATGTTAAGTTGTCTGAGCACGAGATATCGAAATATTTTTGGTCGTTGTACAGTAAGAAAGAATAAACTACGACTTCCATAAAACTTAAATAATCAAACAGCGAGTAAATTCAGAATGGTTTTAAAATAAAATAAAAAATTAACACCCACCTGCAGAAAGTTTTTGAAGTAATCGCTAAATAATCATTTTGGAAATGTCGATCAGATACTTAAGACATATCAGTTTATCTTATAATTACTACAAACATTAATACGTTTTGCTGTTACGAACTTTTAATATTTGTTTTACAAACATTAAAAACGTACTTCATTGACTTCAGTGGTAGAATAATACGTTCCAGGATAAGGGGTCGTCAGAATGGTGACCTAATACTTTTCAATGAATAAATTTTACTTATCAGTGTAAGAGTGAAAAGATGGTACGAGAATAGCAAAGACATTTTCTTGTAATTTAATTCCAGTGTGAATGTCAGAATTACGAGTAATTACTCTAAAAAAAAAGTTAAGTGCTTCAACCCTTCTGTCATTTCTCCATGTTACTTCAAATTATTGAAGGAAAATTTCCATCCTGTATTTCAGATACGTCTTTATATACGATGTTCTTGTACTATCTTTTCTCTTCTGAAGCTCTTTGCTAGGCCTATATAATGTAAAAACCATTCCATATCTCAGCTTATAATTGTTCAAATGGTTCTAGAATACTATAATAGATGGCAGAGTACAGTTTGCTATGCTGTCTTCTTCTTTTATTATTTTTAGTGTCACAGGAAACAGAGGGCAGCAAAGTATAATCACTAGCATTTGAATGTAGATGTTTACGGAAGTGAAACTTCTTACTGGTCAGGATAGATATTTATTCTGTGTATTGTTAAAAAAAAATATGTAAATATGAGTGTAAAAACCACAGTGGAATGAAAAATCTAAGCATTTAATACATCACTCCCATAAATGTGATGAGTTGCCAAATCCAGGCTCTCTGTTGTGTTTCATCATATTATTTTCATATAGTGGATCTTAGAAGTGAAATTTCGTGAGGTAAGAAAGAAATGTGTGAGTATAAATAAATTGTCTGTTTTTATTATTAATTAAATTTTAAAATACCATAATTTATTTGCTGTCTACTGGTTACACCAAAGAATTCATGGTTGGTTTATCAGCTCTAGTTGACATGATTGATTTGAAGACACAACACAGTTCCAAAGGCCATTACACAAAACGACTGACAGACTTTCTTAAAGTAATTATTTTCGAAGAGAAATAAAATTTTGTAATATATTTTTCTCTTGTCACCCTACTCCAAAGTTCCACACATATTTGCTAAATATTCTGAAAGTAACAGAAGATGGATGACTGATGGAACATAAGAATTATGGACAGATTTAACAAACTGAGTGTACAGCATATGAAATTCAAAACATTTTGACTAACTACAAAAGGCCAGATTTATTTGAGGTTATTGTGTCACAGTGATTAGAATGGTCATTGTCGAGACCCCGTATAATTGTTTCATGATTGGACAGCTTAGAACTCTGTAGTAAATCTAGCAAATGAAAGTTAATATTGATTTTAGGTTCGTATCTGTTCTCAGTTGTACGTTCTTTTCCAATTTTAAGGTTAGGAATTCCAAGGTTAAGTTAAATGAGACGACCTTCATTTCAGGAAAAAAAAGTTCAGTTACTTCCTCACAAAATTTTAATCCTCATTCATTGTTTTGACAGGCATAGGAGTCACAAATCAAGCCAATCTCCATTTCTTAAACCAATTTAACTAAATTTTTACACAAATGGTGAAAGCATCATTGCATGAATAGTTGTATGATGTAATGATTTATGTGCAGATGTGTACATTTATATTTATTGAAATCATGTCTTATTGATTAAAAATATTATATTTAAAGAAAGAAGCAATTCTGTTTATAAATTTTTGTTTTAAAAATATCATATTGTGCTGGAAACAGTTTGAAAAAGACGTGAATAGTGCCATCTTTAACGTACAGACTTTCTGCGTCAGAATTCTTGAGATTCGTAACTTTACGAGGAGTGCGACGTACAGGAAAATTCTGGTGTGAACCAGCGGGGTTAAAATTGATAATACATTGTGATGAGTAATTAAAAGATATGTTAAATGTTTAATTAAATCAAAACTTACTTGTTCCATTCTTTTGCTGCCCTTATAAAATAAATTTACGGAAGCCGTCAAGAGGTAACATGTCCCGAGAGACGTGCATAATATTAACCCAGTTATATATAGCAAGACTTAGAATAATGCTGATCGTTTCTTCCCATTAATTCAGCCCAAATGCTTTAATACGAATCACATCCCGTCTTGCCCAATTTTTTTGTTACTGAATACATAACTGCTTATTAGTTATTCCATTTTAATGGATATTCAAGCGTACATCTTCTGGAGAACAAAATGTTACAAACTCTTTAGTCATGTGACTGTTAAAAATTTGTAGCTGTTCTGCAGTTTTCTTATATATATATATATATATTTTGTAACCCATTAGATCAGTGGTCCCCAACGCGGCGACCGCCAAGGCTTTTTTTGGGTGCCCGCGTTGATACGGAAAGAGGTTATACTGAATAATGAAGGCTGTTCAACCACGAACATCATAAAATCAAAGCACAGATCTCGACTTATTAATGCCCATCTTGACGATTGTTTGCGAGCAGCATCAACATCCTACACTCCCAAATTTGAAAAACTGGCCAATGAAATGCAGCGCCAAACATCACACTAACTTCCCACTTGAGTGATAATAATTGTATTTGTAAAACTACGTATTTTTGATTGCGCGGTTTCTTGTATCATTAAACGTCGTGTTGTTTTGCGTATTATTTGGTGTCCATATCTTATTTGTCCAGAGAAAATAAAATTTGGCTTTGTTAATTGGTTGGTGCCCGCCACGATCTCATAAACTCTCAAATGTGCCCGTAGGCTCAAAAATGTTGGGGACCACTGGCTTAGATGGTTAATTTTAGTCTCTATCCTCTTCATATTTGGGGAAAATTAAGGATTCAGATAATATTAAAAAGCACTTTATGATAGCCAGTTTATAATGTTATTTTGAGTCATAGAGACATCGCAGAAGTGTACTATATACAAGCCAGTTGGTGATCATAATTATAGTGACTTAACTTTGTTGTCTTGCTCAAAATTTGTTCATCTGCACAGTTCTGTGATGATATGTGAATTAAACACATTAAGTGGTCCATTTTTATATATTCATTCGAGCTTTAAGTAATACTGATAAAGTAATAGATCCTGCTTCACACACCCAAATAGACTTTACAGTAATAGTATTTATCGCAAAGTAACAATATTATGTAGGTTTATAATTTTAAATGTAAATATTTATAATGTGATTATTTATAAAAGTATGTTGTATCGTAGGGTCCTGTATCCTACGGGTCGCAAATGTAATTCTTTTCTTGGATTATATTTAATTCACGTAGGACAGGCAAGGGCCGAAACAAGTAATAAGTTTTTCTGTTTAAATATGCATGTAGCGCTGTTATTAATATTTATTGTTCTGAGGCACGTCAAATTTTGATTGAATTTAAGATTCTTATTTTACAAATATCACATCTCCAGGCACATCTTCGTCAGTGTATATAAGTAGGGTGTGTTCCTTTTACATATAAATTTAATTGTTGGCATCTGTTACAAACAATATTACTTAATGAAACTGTTCATAAGTGTTTTTCAAATTTCCTAATCCCTCGGTACCAAGTTTATGCCATCTTGTTGTCGATTACTTTCGACCGCTACGATTGTTCCCCGTTTATAATAGCTATTGAAGAGTATATAATTACAGTTACTTAAAATTGCACCCAAAATATTACAGGAGTGTATTCTCCTACTCTGCACTTATCATTCTACATTTCAGTGATTATTAATATGATGTTATACATTGCATTTTTTTTTTACCTTGCAAGATTACTGATTTTTTATAAGCACTAATTTGTATCCCTTGTAAATTTGTATATTGGAACATTATTGCTAATAAACAACTTTTGAAAACTGTGCAAAAAGTTTGTTACTTTCAAAATGGTTAGCAGGGTCACGGTTGAATAATTTAGAGTTGAATGCTAGGAAAGAATGAAATCCTCATCAGAACCCTGATGATGGGGACAGTTGGTTCCCGAAACGTCGGTTTACTACGGTAACCAGTTGATGCGGCTGATTGCCCGAGATGATTTTATTAATTTTCAACTATTATAATAAAATTTGATATTGCACATGCACAGAGGTTTGAGGATTTTGGCGTCATTATCGTCCACCTCGCGTGTTTCAGCGTCAGTCACGTTGATAGTACAAACTGTATATATTTAAATATCATGGCTTTAACACAATCTACGATAGCTTTATGTCCACAACCAATTTCACGAAAATCCTCCTAGCCCTTCTCCAGGCAATAAGATTTGAATATCACGGGCGATGACGTCAGTAGACGAATCATGCGCATGCGTAATGGATAATCTGTAATTGCGTCATGTTAGATCTGTACGAAAGCCGCGAAAAGTTGATGTTTACCATGGATGAGTGAAGTTTTTCTTCGTTCCTCAGTGGATTGTTTACATAAGTAGCATATAAATTCGTGTTTTGTTGTGCAGCAAGGAAATTAATGCAATTACGTAACCTTGCTTGTGTAAGTAATGTAATGCAGTACTCTGTATGGCACATTGAAATGTGGTTATATATGACGGTTGTAAGAATTGTGCTGTTATAACTTACGCATTCATGTATATTATCAACCCAAATCCCTTAGCAGCAGCAAATGGTGTTCATTGTTTACTATATATAGATAGCTAAAGAGTTTTTCATATAAGATTTCTGCTTTCTGTCGCCCTGATGATGGAGGCAGTATGACCTCTGAAACATTGGTTAACATCGACCAGACTACACAGCGCAACAACCCAGACGACGGAAATCTTCATACTCACCGTTGCGAAAACCTCAAATCTTAGTTTTTCATATGTTGGTATTATCTGTGATGCTGATGATTCTGGATGAATGGGCGGGAAGATGCCAAAGTGAGCATTGTGAGGAGTTTGTAAATACTTTTAGTGTCCTGAAAATGATAAGGAATTGAAGTGGTTCATCAGTTTATTTTATTACACGTTCAATTCAGACATCCCATTCCTCTTAATAGCCTATTTGATACAGGTAAAACAGTATTTTAAAATATTGTCTTTGTAGCACAATAGGCTCGCCTTACTGCTTCAACAGTGTAAAAAAAGTGTATATAAATCCATATTGGCAGTATCCTGTATTTATACAATACAAAATATTATTTATTGACAATGTTATCACATATACACAAACGTGTTAAGAGTTGGTTTATCATGCTGCACTTAACGTGGTAAATAGCAATTATTTTAGTATTGAACACGGTATGTTCAAGGCTTCGTTTGATTCTGCCACATATTTCAGTGTCTTCTGGAGTTAGTTTTGGGGGTCTATCATGTACCAAATTTCATTAAAATCTGCAAAGGATTTAGAAGATGAAAAAAACAATGGACCTTGCATGCTCAGATAGTTAACAATATACTATATTAAGTAAAACAAGTCAGATTTCTGGGTTGTTGCGCTGTGTAGTCTGGTGGATGTTAGCCGACTTTTCAGAGGTCATACTGCCTCCGTCATCAGGGCGATGAATATATTCAACAACAACAACCCAGAAGACGGAAATCTTCATACTCGTCGCTGTGAAAACCTCAAATCTTACATAAATTAAGTCAATTTTAAAGTAAGACAATCATTTTGATTTAAACAACGGCAGATTTTTCTCCAAGACAAATGCCTTACACAAATATGGTCTATTGAACAGCGATTCATTACACAGCTGAACCGGACACATACACAAATCTGTCTTTCCAGAACTGCTGGATATTTTTTTGATGTAACTTTAGATTTTTTTTGTGTTTCATCTCCTTTTTTCCCGTCTCATACTATTTAAAAATCTTATCTATATCTCATCATTCTAATATTTGCTTTGGTCTATTTTAAATTTTCTCCTCCATACATGAATATGTGCATGTAGGAACTATTCAATATGCATTTTCTTCCCAGAGTACGCCCCATATCACTAGGTGTTAAAAAAAACTATTGAATTTTTCTAAATATAATATTAAAAAATGTTTTTGTCTTTTACAAAAACCAGTCTTGGGTATGACATTTGGCATGCAAGTGTTTATTAAAATCAAGAACTTAGGTCCTTTTGTTAGTAACCACCCACTCAATTACCCTGTATATGTCGGGAAAGACACGAGATTTATATTTTCATCTTCGTGCAAGTTAGAGAATAATTTTTTGTCGTGTAAAATGAATAATGCGGACGACTGGCGAGCAGAAGTCTCCGGAAGGGGAACAACTTTGTGGTGGGGGGGGGGACCTGTCCGTAACTGCAGGAATGAGAAGCCTCGTCATAGGCACTTGAAGAAATTTTCACTTTGGTAACATACTAGGACGTAGTACAAAACTTTTATCGGCCAACATTCTACGGTACGTGTCAGCGTCTGTTTTTAAGTCTGTAGAGTAAAATGAAATAACTAATGAGTCTTAGAGATAAGAACATAATAGCAAGGATGAGGGTATTGAAATAATAGGAGCCGTTGCCCATGTCAAGGGTTTCTAGGAATTTCTTGGGGCTCATGTAGTGGCAGTAGTCGATGGCGCATTCAAGTTCCTTGCGTTCGTAGCTATAGATAGAGATCAGGGCTCCATCTAGACCATACTTGAGGTAACTGATGTGGAACAACCATCGGAAGTATACCGGCGCATCGTTCATGTGCACGAAGAAACCAGAAAAGATGGTGAACGGCATTATCGCCAATGCACCCCATATCATTCCGTTCTGAAAATAAAAAAAATGGGTGTGATCTGTGCGAATAGAAACGCGTGATAAGTATAATTTGTAAATATCACTGAATTGTGATTAGACGGACAAAAACCGAATAATTAATTAAATATCAGTTTCGCAATATGACGCAACTATTTCATCTTATAAATATCACTTAAGTATTACGAATTTATTAATTTTCTCTTAAAAATTTGGAAAGTATGTGGGAGAAGAACATCCACATGTGAATCGTGAAATAGATTCTTCTGTCTTTTAAGCATTTTACGGTGCAAATCGCAGAAGAAACTGGTTTAGAAAAAAATATTGATACTGCTGTTAATATTTAAGTATATCTACTAGTTTAATAACAGCTTTCATTCTGAAATATTGCAGATTGTGGCTGTGCTAGTGAAATCAAAGAAGAGAAGAGTGTTGTTGTATATGTACTACTCCCTTCGGACCCTAAATTTCACACAACGAGAGTGAGTACAGTTTTAATTATTTTATTTTTTATATATTCTGTGGAGTATTTTTTAGTGGTCTGTTTTGAAGTCGGAAACATATAGGAAAATTTCGTGCATCACATCAGTAATTTGACAAACATAACCTTCAAAACAATTCACACAGCGGACATTTTTTATTTTTATAAAAGGCTTCAGTCTGCAGTCTTTTTTTAAACTAGGAGCCTGTGTTCTCCAGTATGCGGAAAAATATACCGTTTTTGACCGTAAGCATACAGATGGAGTGACGCAACTCAGTTGCGAGATATTTCTGAAAATAAGTTTGTATTATTATATTTATTTATTACTTATAGTTTATTTAACAATGCTTTCAGTAGTATTTAACATAAAATTAGAGGTTGATCGTGATTAATTAATTGGAAAGGATGTGAAAGGAAGCAATCATAGTGCCACTTTGTCCACCCCACATCCCACATTGACTGACCAGGGTGTGAACCTGGGCCTCTGTGGTGAGAATCCAGCAACTAACACCTGGGCTGTGGCATGGCCCTTTCAAGGTTATAATGCAGGTCTCTGTTTCTCTTACGTTATGGACCAAGATCATGTCAGGCAGGTTAGATGTCTCTCCTATGGCACACATAAGAAAGATTCTGTCTTCTGGGTTGTTGCGCTCTGTAGTGTGGTCGATGTTAACCAACGTTTCAGAGGTCATACTGCCTCCGTCATCAGGGCGATGAATATCATTATATCATTCATCGCCCTGATGACGGAGGCAGTATGACCTCTGAAACGTTGGTTAACATCGACCACACTACAGAGCGCAACAACCCAGAAGACAGAAATCTTCTTTAAGATAACATTAATAGATTAAAGATTTTTCCAGCTACATTTTAAACTATTAACATGAAATCAACAACATATGGCGCTGAATTTTGTACAAGATTCTCTTGGTATGTGCAGTTATGATTTCCTTAAAATTTATCTGTTTACACTTTGTAAATGTGTAGCAGAAGTATTTGAATTTTGACAGATAAATTATTTTTCCCTAACCTGCGAGATTCATTATGCAGAGACAATTAGCTGACGGTGATTTTAATGTAAAAGGGTAAGACTTATAAACCTTTTAAATATGCAACAGAACCTGGTATGGGTTTTTATGTTGATTAAGGATGGAGGGTTAAGATAATATTTTGAAAAAATAAGCATTACCTGAATGTTCATGGACACTCCAATGAGAAGGCCAATGCTCTGAGCCACCATCGCTACCATAATGCATATCGTGAGAAAGAGAATGTAGCGAACGGCATCGGGCGGTTGTGCCGTCATGTAATACACCACCAGCGTATAGCCAATTGAGCATGTGACCTGCAAATTAATTAAGTTCCTATTAGTTTTGATTTAATTAAAATGTTCATAAGAATTGGCAGGGAACTTCTTGAATCGCTTAGCAACTAACAGATTTTCAAGAATGAGTGTGCTTCATTGGCATTAATTAGATATAAATTGATAATATGTTTCAAAAGTATAGAATCTAGATTGTGTTCAGTAAACCACTTACTTGTATTGGTACATCAGCCAGTGTGATGGCCAGGTAGTAGGATTTCAGCGAATACCAGCGATTAAAATACTCTCTAGAGATGATTGGAATCTCAGATGGAACTGCAAAATTTTTTTTTGGCATTACTACATTCACAGGAAGAGATAAGTGATAAATTAAAATATATGTATGCAGAATGTGTCAGTTACGTTAATCTCTTTTACCAGACTAATAATTGACCTGCCATTTAACCAGAATCATATTCCACTCATAACTAGTTACTCTAACACAAGTTCCTTGGTCCATTCTCCTCCCAAACATATAAATAGATAAATTATGTTCTAATCTCTCTTAATGACTAAAATAAGCTAAGTCGCATTACAAACTACTCTTCTGGTAGGGTCAGGATACAAAGTTACATTTCGTTCAGTGATGAAAATTGTAAAGAATGTGATTCTTGCTGAATATTTTGCACAGATAAGTATCAATCGATCACAACAAATACATCAAAAGCTGGACCAATCGTAAAGTTGCGCTGCGATCAATCCTCGCGTAAAAGATCTGTTTCACTTACATGTGAATATCATTGAAGAAAATGCAGTAAACATAAGGAACATCATACAGAAGTAGAGGAGGCCAAAGTTGTCAAACACGTGCGCAGCATCATTTCCAATCTGATAATAGATCAATCCGATCATAACACCGACAATCAAGTGGATCATTATCCGGGCCACCGTCAGGAACTGAAACAATAAAGATTATTATTAGAGGCTGAAGGCTCAAACAAATAATGTTTGATTAATCAGGCCCTATTTCAAATAAAAACAACGCATTTCACTATTACAAAATTCAATCGGTTATTGCCATTAGCCTAATTGATCAATAGATTGTTTTAGAATATGTGTACCTTGTCCCTAAGAGTCAAGAAGAATGTTCTTAGAAGTAGACAAAGAAATTGGCTCAGGAGAGAAGTAGGATAGTGTCTGACGTGTCTTCTTGCAGTATCAGCATTCTTAGTTCCGTATTCTTGTACATGACTCCCACGAACTGGTGCTGGAGTACGCGGAATGCGAGGTGTATGGACAGGAGTCATGAAGCCTGGCGGCACTGGTCCTGGAGATAAAAGTTTACTTTATGAAATCAAATCTGTTTAAGTTCTTCATCGTTTTCATCATACTTTGTATTCTGCTGCTTTTTTCACTTCCTCTAATCACCCCAGTAGTGCACGCAGTTGCCCCGTAATTGATATTACAACACATTGTTTTCATATACAGTAAAACCTCTCTAAGTTGGACACTTGGGGTTCCACAAAAATGTGTCCAACTTACAAATGTGTCCAACTTACAAATGTGTCCAACTTAGGAAAGAGAAAAAATCAGATTGTGGTCTAATGACAATATAATCTATTTACTTACATAATCTAACTACTGTAGGCTTGATTGAATTAAGAATTAATGATAATAGTATTAATAATAATCTTTTGAAGCCCACTCCCATGCACTGCACATTACACCCCAGCCTCAGCAACATTTTCTAAAGTTAAATCCACCAATTTTGGCTTCCCCATCGCAAAAAGAAAAATTCCATTTCAGTTAACGCAGTCTGAACTCAAATGCAAGCGGAGTTAAAATTGTGTCTTCTGCAAAACTGAGGTCCAGTTAAGGGTTCAGCAAAAGAATAGTTAAACACTTGTAATGCATTCCAACGATGGGTTCAATGTCCGTAAGATAATCCTCCAGAGAGGAGGCATTCATCAGTCAGAAATTCAAAATAACAAAATATCTAACTGAAAAAGTTTCCCTGAAAAGCGTCGAAGTTAAGTGCACGAACCTGTCCAACTTACAACAAAAGGGGTGTCCAAGATATGGAGTATTGTGGACATGTAAAATTATAGGATATTCGCCGGTTTGAATTAAAAGTGTCCGATATAAAGGGGTGTCCAACTTGAGGGGTTTTACTGACTGAGTACTGCTTCTTCGATCATTTTATAAAAAGTGGTTAACACTAATTTTGAGAAGCCACGTCGGTGTTCAGAAAACATGCAACACGTTGTTCTTGGTTGCCATGGTGATCTCATCACCTTCTCAGTCCTATGTGGGAAGGGCTTCTTCTGTGTGTGTGTGAATGCGTATCTTCAGAAATCGGGCATCGAAGTAGAGCCATCAGCATTTCCTTTGCTGTAATCCTGTTATAATAAGTACTCGGTAATGTTTACGTGTTACTGTGTATTATTACTGTTAAAATCCTGTGAATGAAATTTGACAGACAGCTTACCAAAAAATCAGTAAAAACCACAAACATTAAAAATAAACAAGTGTAAGAAAAGAAGATTCATTAATACCAACTTTTAAAATCTTCAAAAAAAAAAAGCAAGTTAGGAAACTGTTCCTTTACTGTGCCGCATTTGGTTACGTGATTGAACGCAAATAGAATGCTGTGAACCATATTTGTATTCTGGTCTGTTTATTTTCTGTTCTATTACCGCGTATGCCGGACAGTCCGGTCCGGACACACGATTACATCACAGCTCCAAAGATGGGGACAGAGATGGTCCCTGAAATGTCAGTAATTTTTAACGAAGTGACACGGCCGATGGCCTTAGAAGATTTTGTTAATGTTAGTTGCCATGAGAAATTTTGGATCATACGTTAGTAAATAATTTGTAATCTGCTGACAATCTTACCAAGACGGGAGAAAGAGCTCGTCTCTCTTTGTCTCCTTCTCCAGTCGTTACATTTGCCATTCTGTATGGA